CTAACCCTAACTTTTTCACCTGATTTTACATTAAATAGACCTATTTGATTGTTTAATGCTGAAAAATGGATTTTTTCCGAAAAACCTTGGTTCTTTGATAAAGAAAATACACTGCAGGAATTTTTTAAAAATCAAGAGTGCAATTCATGAAGGGGGGCCATGGTGCGGAGACTGGAGAGCAGAAATTTTTTAAGTGGATGAGAAAGAAGGATTTCAGTTTTTCGTATAAAGGAGTTCTTTTGTACATTTTACTGTATAAAATAAACATAACTTGTTGTATTTAGACACAACCAGAACCTAACCTGTACGGAATCTTGCATCTTTTCAGATCTTTTTCATTTTCCGTTCATTATTTGAGTTCGATCAAATCAAAACAAATGTGCCTCTTACCTTCCAGGTGCAAATCGGGAAATCACTGCTTAACTTGATCTCAGGAATAATTTTTTTTTGAAGATCATAGAAATTCAACTGACACTGGTCTCGTCTCAGCTCCATAGCATACGATTTATAAGACATTATATGTGAGCTTACATAACAAAGTAACCCATTCAGTGAACATTCTACCCACAATACAGCAAGGTCCTGAGCTTTTCGCGCCAAATTCGTCACATGTTACAAGACGCTCTTTCGAGCAGATGAAGTGTTCGGTTTAGGCTCATAGTAAAGCACGTTTTTTGCCTCATAATTTAAAATCCGCTTCGAATATGCCCGATTATCAAGCAGAGAAAGGTAACCAAGCAATTTTTTATCTCCTCTAGTGCTTATATCGCTATTACAGTGATTTTGAAAGGATAGGTTGGCGTCATATGTTTTAATCTGCATCGGTCTTTTTTCAGACAAAGCGAAGCGGTTTCTCGCAGAGTTTTACCTCGACGGAGACAGTGGAAAACACTTCAAATACGGAGAACAACTCGTGAGTAGAAATCAGTAAAAAATTTTGTCATAAGGTGGTTCAAAATTTGTTGCCTTTGTTGTTTACGCAACGCACAAGAAGTAGATTTATGGTCGAGTATGTTGAATGTTGGTTATCCTGTTAAGTTCTTCAGATAAAGTTTCGTAATGATTTTCTTTTTCCAGGTTAAAATTGCCCATCGTGAACAGGTAGAACTCTTGATCGAGCTGGATGATATCGCCGAGGTAAGGCACCTCGTTTGATCGATTATGCTAGCATGACTTTGATCCGAATCCTAACTTAATTGGGTTAGCAATTGAGCATATTTTTTTGCCTGCATGCGACAGGACATTCATCATTAGGTTATTTGCAATGGTCAAATACGGTTAGGCTCTTACTTTATTCCTCAAGAGCTCAGATGGTTCTTTCAAATTCGTTTTGATTACATAATGAAGCGTTGACGAAAGTTGGAGAACTCGAGGAGTACACTATTCAAAGTAAGACATCAGTATTCCAAGTTTATTTTTGAAAATCAAGCTGGCGGATGTGAAAGCAGTTACTTCTAAGAGTTAAGTCCATACCAGAAAAGTAAATGTCCTTTATTAGTATTGGCCTCGACATGGTTTTACGAGTGTTAGCACGATGAAGAGAAATTCAGCAAGTAACCGTTTTAACAACTTTTTTTTTTTATATATAAATTGTTTGCATTTAGATTGATCCTGAGTTGTCAGAAAACATTGTGGAAAATGCACGTCGTTATAAACAGTTGTTTGAGGATGCTGTGTTTGAAATGTTACCGGACTACAAGGAGAGAGAGGTACAATGTGGGACAGGCGTTCAGAAATATAATTACATAAATCACATTAGCAGCGTTGTTGGCAGAGAGGTTGTTGAACCAAAGCTGAAAACTACTGCACAGTTATAGTCATGTAAATTTTAGAGTTGTATTTTCACTTACTAGTGAAAAGAATGCACATCTCCTTGCAGCAAATATTTAGGGACAATAAGTTTGAAATAGTTGGATTTTAAGAAGAATGAAACCTTTACTGATCACTACACTGTACCTCAGCAGAAATAACACGAAATAAACAGTTTATAAACCAGAAAGAAACGAGGATTACAAATATAACAAAGTTGATTTTCAAATGACAAACTTAGATAATTTAGATACAATTTTCCCTGTTGGTGAGTGCATGGTGCAGTTCTGTCAATAGTTCTATTATAATTCAGGCAATTTTGTGTCTTACAAGGTTCAAGTGAAAGATGCCTTAGATGTGTATATTGAACATCGTCTTCTGTTGGAGCAGCGGAACAGAAATGATACAGAGACAAGAGACCCAAGGAAGAAATATCCTCCAGAGCTTCTTAGGAGATAGTAAGTGTCTATCAAAGGGGAGGTAGATCTAGAAATTTTTAATAGGGGGCCCAAACTTTGGTGCAGGAAACACAGAACTTTTTGTTGAGCAAATTACTTCTTTTTCATGTGCTTTAACCCTTTAAACTCTAAGACTGACCATCATCTCATTTCTCGTTACAGTACTACTGCTGAATCATTCTTTAAGATCATGAGAATTAGGAGAATGATCGCCAAACTGAGAAGCCTTGATTGCTAGGGGAATTCTCCACGTTCAAAGGAATTATTTGGAAAAGAGTAAGGAGAATATGCATACTGATGCAGGGGGTTTAAAGAGTTGATGGTCTTTCTCTCCTGTGGGGTTCCAACTTACCTTGGCATAGGGTTTCCAGAATATCACAGTTTTTAACAACCTTTCTCTTTCCTTTTTTTAAAATTTTTTTTTCTAGTGAGGTGTATTTTAAGCACCTGAGCACACACAAGGGTAGTGCAGTGCGTGAAGTAAAAGCTGACAACATTGGTAAACTTGTTGTGGTGCGTGGAATTGTCACAAGGTGCACAGAAGTAAAACCAGTTGTTGAAGTAGCAACATACACTTGTGATCAATGCGGTGCAGAGTCTTATCAGCCAGTATGTATACTGTTTGTTGTATTCTGATCTGAGACATGATTGAAAATTTTAAGAGAGTTTTTAAGATATCCTTTGTCTGTACTCGTGTGGCTGAGATGTTGGGTACTGATTTTATTTTTCCAGATTTCATCACAAACATTTATGCCACTTCTGATGTGCCCCAGTGAAGAGTGCAAAGTTAACAAGTTAGTCTTGAAATTTCATCATAAACCTGTACATCCCTTCAACCTTGTTTTGTTTTTATATTTTATTAGCTTGTGTTAAGTACAACTGTGCATTGTATTCTTTTGATGTGGATGTTGATGTGGCATTTATGGGGCAGCGTAAAGGGGCCGATGAGCAAGAAAAGTTGTTGTACAAGAAGGAAAACTAAAACTCCACTAACAACTGAACATATTCTATATGAGAGTACACTGTTAAGTGCTAGCAAAATTTTAAGACTTCTGACAAAAATCTCGTTTTAATCTTTCCTTTTCAGGGCTGGTGGTCGTCTTTACCTTCAAACAAGAGGCTCTAAGTTTGTCAAATTCCAAGAGCTAAAAATCCAAGAACACAGTGATCAAGTTCCTGTGGGTAACATCCCAAGGACTATGACAGTCGTAGCAAAGGGAGAAACAACTCGGCTTGCAGTACCAGGGGATCACATTGCAGCTACAGGAGTGTTCCTTCCTATGATGAAGACAGGATTTAGACAGCTTACTCAGGGATTGTTATCAGAAACATTCTTAGAGGCTCATGTAAGTTTCAGAAGAATCTACATATCTAAAAAAATTACTGTTTTGTGATTGATTTTTAAAATCCAGAACTGCCTGGGGTCTGATTCTTAATGGAGGGCAGGGGGCTTAAAATTTTTTTCAGAGTCTTGCACTTGTCTTGAATGTGTAGTTAAATAGGATCAAATTGCTTGTAATTTTTTCTTTTTGTTGCTTCAGAGAATTGTAAAAATGAACAAGACAGAAGATGATGAACTGGGTGATGAAGAGCTGAGTGATGAAGAAATCAGGGCTTTGTCCGAAGGTTTGTGTTTTTGAATCATGATCATAATACAGTGGTAGAGTGCAACTGTCTTTCCTTTTGTTTGTTTCTTTGTCAAGGATAACTTTGATCAACTTGATTAGTTGGTACACACCTACATTAGTGGTTACTTTACCCTCTCACCACCAAGATCACAAAAGCACATCTCTTTACTTTTTACCATACATTCTTATGATTTTCACCCTTTTTGCTTGTAAAATGTATTGATATGATAAAGAGTCATTATATGTCAATTGTGGTGATGATGACAACAATGACATTGAGGGTGATGATGATGACACTGCTACATGTTGAATTAGTTATTCATGACAGGTACTCTTTTCTTGCAGAAGCAGACTTTTATGACAAGCTGGCCTCGTCACTTGCTCCTGAAATTTATGGTCACGAAGATATCAAAAAGGCTTTGCTGCTGTTGTTGGTTGGAGGTGTAGACTGTACTCCTCAAGGGATGAAAATCAGAGGTGGAAGGTTTTCCTCTTGCGATATGGCTATTGTTGTGATTTGTTTCCTGTAAAACTTTTGCTTGATAAGTATGCCAACGAGTCATCACTGAAAATGATTATCTTTCTCCATCCTTCAGGAAATATAAATATTCTTCTAATGGGTGACCCAGGTGTAGCAAAGAGTCAAATGCTGGGATACATTGACAGGCTTGCACCTCGCAGTAAGTGACTAAACTTCAGATTCATTTGTTAAAGGAACTATTGAAATTGTTTTACTTCTTCCAGTTAGCATTTTTAAACTTTTTTTTTTTTCATATTTTAAAAGTATAATTTCCTTGGTCATTTTGTATTGCTCTCTGAAGAAGTCTTTTTATAGGATTACACAATTACTGGTGAACCTGTAGTTTCCATTGTGGTCCTCGCAAACACATGAAACAAATAGTCTATATTGAACATAACATCATTAAGAACATGATTAAGAACCCCAACTGGCCGGAGGCAAACCAGTTGGCTATTTACAAGCGTGGCCAAGGATCTGAACTCGGGGCTACCGTGAAACAAATCCAGTGGTCAGGGTGGGACTCGAACCCGGGAGCGGCGGATTACAAGTCCGACACTCTAACCACTCAGCCACACTGCCTCCTACAAAATTACATTTACTTTATTTCTTATGTTGTTGAATTTATTCTTATGCAGGTCAGTACACCACAGGACGTGGAAGCTCAGGAGTAGGTCTCACTGCTGCTGTCATGAAAGATCCTCTCACGGGAGAAATGATTCTAGGTGTGTAATATAATTATTTGTAAATTTTTGTCTGTAAGATCTACAAGCCTTATGGCCCATTCATGTGGAAGGTGACTATCCTTACAACTAAGCCACCAGGGAAAATCACCTGTGGCTGATACGTGTTTGTCATCGGCAGTGCGGCACCTAAAAATTCTCAGTACCAATGGACACTGCATGGTGAACAAAGACAGTGAAATGAAGTGAATCTGCTCTTAAATGTGATAAAACATCCCTATCTTGTGCTTGAATCTAAATTGCAAGGAGCAAACTTGAGTACTCTCTTTTAATAGTACAAAATTTCTTGCATTGTGATAGTGCAAGTGCCAAATACCTTGATACAAGAAAGGTGAATCTTAACAAAATGCAGATCACAGGTTCTATCAATTCTTCATTGATTGATCATTTCAGAGGGAGGTGCATTAGTGCTGGCAGACAAGGGAGTCTGTTGTATTGATGAATTTGACAAGATGATGGATTCCGACAGAACTGCAATCCATGAGGTTATGGAACAACAGACTGTCTCCATTGCCAAGGTGAGAAGGCCAATATGTTTTTGCAGTTCTAGCTATTTGGGTCGCAAAATCAATTTTCAGGGATCACCTGTTGCATATTCACAATTTTTTCTTCAAAATGAATCATCAAAGGTGGACATGATCCCTAGTACTTGGCTTAGAAACTACCTTTAGTTTACTATTTATTATGAGTGATTGTTACATGTTGATTAACCTCTTGTTTTGTAAGGCTGGAATCATGACAAGCCTGAATGCACGAGTGTCTATCCTGGCTGCTGCTAATCCAGCATATGGACGATATAATCCAAAGAAATCTGCAGAACAGAACATTCAGCTCCCAGCAGCACTGTTGTCAAGATTTGACTTGCTTTGGCTGATTCAGGATAAACCAGATAGAGATAATGACTTAAGGTGAGGGGTTGTCCCCCCCCCCCTGGATTTTCTTCACTGATGTGTATGATTGTGGTTTCCAAGGGTAAATGAATTTGATAATTTTTAACCAAGCATGGTGCCAGGAATTACCTCATCCAGATTATTACACTTACACATTGAACTTAAGAAAATTAAAAGTGTAGTGGTAGACCTCAGCCAAGTGAAAAAAAATAAAATACAGCTTATGTCTTGTTAGCAGAGCACAGGCCATAAAATTGACAAATGGTATTTGCTTACCTCCAAACAGTCCTACAGAGATACATGATGTTAAAGCTTGGTTGTCTTGCTGCATAATTTTATTTTTTGTTTTTTGTTTTTGTTTTTTTTTACAGATTAGCACAGCACATCACATATGTCCATCAGCACAGCTCACACCCTCCAATGCAGTTTACATCTTTGGACATGAACCTCATGAGGTATGTAAAAGTATTTCTTCTAATTCCCCCTCACATTGAAAGATCTAAATGTACCTCTGAAGATTTTAGTGATGAAAAAGTTTCTGGTATCAAAAATAAGGCTTTTGATAGAACATTTGACAGTAGAACTGTGAAAATTTGTGAGTGTTTGCTCAATTAATCTAGGAAAAGATGAGTGAAAACACTACTACACTTTCTATCAGTACCATGTGTTGGAACATTATTTTGTATTGGTGTATGGAGTATGTTTTTAAATACAATTGTTAAAATTCACTCGCAATTGAAAACAATGTGATTGTAGAACCCTTTAGGACTGAATGCAGGTGCACTTTTTGCTTCATTCAGTCATAACAAATTTTTTTTTTTAACAGGCGTTACATTGCTGCCTGCAAGGAAAAACAACCTCTGATCCCTGAGGCTCTTACAGATTACATTGTCAGTGCATATGTGGAAATGAGAAAGGAAGCTAGGACCAACAGAGACACAACTTTCACCTCAGCAAGAACACTTCTGGCTGTTCTGCGTCTTGCAACTGCCTTGGTTAGTACTTGTAATTACAGTACTTCCTGTGACTTTTCCTTAGGTGCCTTATTTTAATAAGAGTAATAAGACAGATTGTGAAGAGTAACCTTTTCCCATTCAAGTGCTAGTTTAAGGTGAGGGATCCCATACAGAGAAAAACCAGAAATGTTAATTAACATTATCACACATATGATTGTAATATATGCAAGAAACTAACAGCCTGGAAAAAAAATGAAGGGAAAACTCCATCAGGTGATAAAACAAATGTGCTCTTTTGGGATAAGGAAGGTTGGGAGGGTTTAATAGTCAATTTTATTTTCCATTTTGTTTTGTTCAAGGTTTTAGTCCTCTCAGTAAATTCCCATAGGGATAGCACAAAGAAACTGTGAGGGGCTAGCCAGGGTTAACTCTGCCCTTTGTACTTGAAAAAATATGTTTAGATGACATGTTCACATAAAAATGGTACAAGTCCTACATGTGGGCCCCCGTATTTATATATTTATTTATTTATTATTATATATTATATATATTATTTATTTATAGTAAAAAATGCAGTGTTTGTTACATTTCTATAGGCTCGTCTCCGTTTGGCAGATGTGGTGGAGAAGGAAGATGTGAATGAAGCAATGAGACTTATGGAAATGTCTAAGGCTTCCTTAATTGAAGATGAAACTAAAACAAGGTGAGACATCCACTTGATCAACAAGTAGCAACTTAAAAGATATGCAATAATTACAATACTTTTGACCAAAATAGTGCTGACACTGAAGGTCACACAGGAGCTATGAATACAAATACAAGCCCAATTCTTTCTTGATTTATTTCTTAGCCGTTTGACCCTTAGGATTGATTAGCATCTTATTTCTCTTCACAGCGTCACTGCTGAATCAAACATTAAAGTTAAGAGAAGAAGGAAAATGATCATATTCCTGAAACTTTCACCTCTCGTCTTTGTAAAAACTAAAATTCTTTTCATAGTCTCTACAAACGAAACTAGTTTTTGCAAACTAAAGACGCTTGGGTTTGTCAAATAAATTCTCCTTGTCAACATCTTAGGAAATGTATAGAGAACAGTAGGGAGAATATGCATACTGATGTTACGGTGGAAAGGGTTACGTTTCAGGGAGGGTACCATAGAGATTGGAATCATGCAGATGGTGTGAGCACCAGATGGAATTAGGGTTCCCTGGAAGATGGGGCAATAAGCCTGTCAGAAGCTAACTTGGTTACCTTAAAAGCTCATTCCCTTATACCCATTTAGTTACCTGGATATTAGGTCTTTGATTAAGCAAGCAATAGATTTGTTCTGTGTTGTTGGACATTTTATTTTTAGCTGAACCAGTGTATCTGTTCTCTGTCAGGACTGTAAACCCAGTTGATGCGATTTATGGAATTATAAAAGAAATGGCTGGAGATGCCAGCAGTGTAAAGTAAGTCATTTGAAAATTATTTGAATAAAGTGATTAGAATTAAATTACCATTGCACAATCAGGTTAAACAAATTTCAGCTAAAAAGGTTGCATATTTTTAAGGGGTGCAAGTGATATGAATGTTGTGACGATAATGGAGGGGGATCTCAAGATTTCTAATTGGGGGTGAATTGATGGGAACAATGCCAACAAGCTACTTGATAATTTCTTACGTGATAAATGCTTTTTTTTTTCAACTTAGACTCCCAGACGTACAGCAACGATGTTTGACAAAGGGCTTCACGCCAGATCAATTTGATGCCTGTCTTGGGGAGTATGAAGACTTGAATGTCTGGCAAATCAATTCCAACAGGACTAAGATCACTTTTGTTCAGTGAGAGAGGTTAAAGAGTCCAGAGAGAGTTGGAGTCAATATGAGGAGAGTACTGTTCTTGTATTTGATATATTTTCTCCGTTGACCTGAGAGATTAGATACAGTTTGTATAGGAGAGGAAGCTGTTGTAAAGTGTGCCTTTACCGTTGTACTCATTGCTATTTTCAATGTATCTCGCAGTTTTGAGCTCTTTTGCTTTATTTTTAGATACAAGGAATCATTTTTTGTCTCTTGTAAATATTCTTTAAAATTTTTTTGCATTTGTACATGTCCAATACGCTAATTTTTCATAAACTTGGCAAGAAAGACTTTTGTTTGTTTATTTCCTCAAGTCAAAATAAACGTTTGAATGTAGCCGTAAGTATTTAAAAGTCTTGTGTTTCCTTTTTCTATGTCAGTGATAATGTTAATTTGACAGCTATTGCATGTCTTCAACTCCACTCTCTCGAGTTTCAAATTTTAAATCAACCCTATATTTCCGTTTCTCCTACTCAGTAATGCAGCAGATTTAGATCAAAACCTAGGTTCCCGGGTGAGTTCCCTTAAGTTTTCCTCCGAGGTACAAAAATTTATGAATGGAATTGAACCAAGCTAGACTATTTTAAGACCTTTTGAAACCAGAATGATGTTCCAGGCCCACACTAAAACAACGGTGCTATTTTGTTCGATTGGAGTTACAAGGAGTATAATTTTGTTTCTTCGGCTGAGGTTATTCCTGTGGAGTCAAACCTGAAACCTTCCCCCTGATAATGAAAATTCAAATTCACCAGGAAACTACTATTTTTATAAAAAGAACGACACATTTGAAACTAAATTTATAAGACATGCTTCGGTCGTTGAACGACCATCTTCAGTTGAGAGTAGAACTGATTTGAAATTACATTTGAATTTATATTGTAGTACTAAACAAAAGCTATTGAAACTGACAGAATACCCAAAGGTAACAAAAGAGTGTATGGTATGACGTGTTAATTAGAACGAAAGAGTTAAACAAACGTGATATAATTGCTTGTTTAAAGAAGGTTGGTCCAAAGAAATATGTAGGGCTTCTTTTATCTTGACCTGGAATCTTGTGGTCGCACGATCTGTAACTTTAAAACACTCAGCAGAGCAGGAATTGCGGCATGTTTGGGATTGTTGAAGATGTTGAAAGATATGGGAGGTCGTGTCCCTGTCTAAGTGTTCGCGAATGCGTGTCGAAAGGTGTCGGCTAGTTTCGCCGACATAGCAAGAATTACAGCTTGCACGGGTAAACTTGTAAACAACATTCGAACGAGGTTCGACAGGCACAGGGTCTTTCACACCAAACATGTCGCGGATCTTGAAGGAGGAAAAGGCTAGCTTAACATCGAGATTGTTACAATAACGTTTAAGTAATTTACGTAATCTGTTTTGTGCTATAACAGAGAAGGGGCCGACATAGGGTAATTTGAAAAAAGACTAGCAGGTATATTCGAAGAGATCTGAGTTTTGGTCAAGATAAAAGAAGCGCTACATATTTCCTGGGACCAACCTTCTTTAAACAATACAAGCAATTATATCACGTTAATTTAACTCTTTCGTTCTAATTAACCCGTCATTTTTTACACTCTTTTGTTACCTTTGGGTATTCTTTCAATAGCTTTTGTTTGGTACCACAGTAAAAACCCGCAAGTAAGAACCTACATTTTTAGGAGTTAGCCTAAACAGGTTCTTATATAAATGGTACTTAACAAAATTTTAGGCTATTTAGGTTTTTAAAACAGGTTCTTATTCTTGGAGAAAAACACACCTGCATAACAAGTTGGTAATTGTCCTATATTTAGTAACTACATATTTTGCACAAATTTTTTTTAAGAAAGTCATGTTTTACAGCAATGGCAATCTGGTTTTTCTTCGATTATGATTACAGTAAATAATTTCAGTGTACCTGTAATGTACTATATGATTTTAGAAAATAAGAACCTATTTTAATTTTCTTAGGCTAAATAGGTTCTTGTTTATAGGGGGTGTAAATGGCAAATTTTAGGCCAACAGGTTCTTAATTTTTAGGTTCTGACTTCCGGGTTTTTACTGTACATTATAAACTCAAATGTAACTTCAAATCAGTTCTACTCTCAACTGAAGATGGTCGTTGAACGACCGAAACATGTCTTATAAATTTAGTTTCAAATGTGTCGTTATTTTTATAAAAATTGCTGTCAGTCTGCTCCTTTCCAGACCTTTTGGAAAGTACTACTTAGAGTTGCAAAAAGTGGAAACTTCTTTGTCACCTACACTTGTTCCACAAGAGCCTCCAGTAGCTCCAGATCTGAATTTAAGTATCCTTTTGACTTCTGGCTTGGATCGGGAGTTTGCCTATTGGAACCGACAGTCTGGGTCTGATCATCTCTGGTATCATCAGCTCCTTCCATCACGTGCCGACTCAAGTAACGAATCAGCTTAAGAGTTTTTGTTGGTGTGATATTCGCTCAAATTTCGCCTTTGATTAGAGGAACAAAAGGTGAATGAAAATCCTGTGCTTGGACTCGGTGTTTGATTCGAACTACCAAAAGTGTATACTGGTTTATTATCGCCCTCTTGAACTGATACACCGAAGCCAGACGTTAAGTCCTCGCCGGAGGATGAGGCTCCAGATCCAAATAAAAACGACGGTTTGACCTCCTTCTTTTGGCCTTGACTTGGTTCTGCTCCTGGTTTAATACTTCCACAAGCAATACACTCTACTTTATCACTGTCGTTGATCACCATACAGACAGTACATTCCCACGATCCTTCAGCAGGTTTAAACTTGGACATAGGATCTTCCTTCCAATCTATGCTTTTAGGTTTTACTTGTAGTTTCACTGCTGTTGGGTTCTTGAGCATTTTCTGACATTCCTCAAACTTCTCCTTGAACTGCTTGGCTGTCTCTTCTGATTTAAATCTCACGGCAAGTTGCTCAGCTCTACATTCCCCCTCTGAAAAGTCTGCCATTGTGCTCCACACCCACGATCTATTTGAACCTGCATTAGGCTGTAGTTTCATTTCGGTGGTTATCTGATGATTGGCGCAAACTTTCAGCACTTTATCCCGCCGCATCAGAACTCTTAGCTTTCCACTCTGCCTATTTTTCAAAAGTTTTATATCCCCAACTCCTCGCTCTTTCCACTGTTTGTCCTCTGCCACAAAACGATATAGCTTTGCCCTGTGTGAGAACATCACTTCTTCATCCTCTTCCCCTGTCTTAACATCGATCTTTTCAGGTAGAGGGATTATCGGCTCAAAGTGTGGACCCTCGTGGTCCTCTTCCGTTGTCGACTCATAACGGTCTGCCGAAGATGGGGATGTGAATAGTTTGGTGCCTGATCCCGAAAACCCAGAAGCAGAATTACCGGATTTTGGTTTCTGCCCAAACGGACTGTTAGTCAGAGACGAATTGGCTATTGACTGGAATGACAATGAGGATACGTTGGGAGAACCAAACAGAAACTTTAGCTCCTCGTTTGGCAAAGTTTCTTTTGTGTCTTGCAGGGCAAGGGCAGAGTCCTTGTCACTGTAGCAGAAAAAGAAGAAAATGTCTGGTGGATTTTTGGATCGAAACTTTCGATAATAATTACACTTGAATCAGTTATGAATACATGTACCTTCGATTTTGGAAGTATAACGGGTAAACGTGTCCTATATGTTCTATTTAGGCTATTTTGTGCTTAAAAAACAAAAACAAAAACAAAAAACTATTATAATCTCTTAAGAATCGGACCTAGATTCCCGTTCCTGCGTCCCATGTATCAGCCTTTATCCTCATGCGTGTCCCAAAGGTGGAGCAAGATCATAGATGGGAAAAAAAACCTTGTAAAAAACAGACAATTCACTTCGAACACTGCATTTGAAATATCCCTCAGTTACCCAGTCCATTTATTTCGGAAATGCTTCAGTTACTAGAATACGATCTCAACATGATGTCAAACACAACTCGCACAACTGACCTTTCTAGGCTCGATGTATTCTCTTCTGTGCTGCTTTTATCCACTCGAGCTTCTTCTTTGACATCTACCCCTTCTTTAATAATCTGCTTTAGATCATCTTTGTTCTCATCAGTTCCTTTATTGCTTGCTGAGTCAATCAAGGAACTAGCTTTAGGATCTTTGTTGGTTTGCAGTTCACCCAACTTTCCTCCTTGACCTAAGGCGCCAAACCTAAATGGAACTTCAGAGCTTGGAATGGAAGTCTGGTTCTGGCTGCCAAAAGTGAAAACTGGTTTTGGATCGCCTTGAGCGCTTCCACTAGAGCCGAATGAGAAGACTCCCCCAGATGACGAGGCGCCAAACCCAAATGGAAAAAGTGATTTTGAATATTGCCTTTGTTCTTTAATGACTTCTGCTCCTGGCTTTACACTTCCACAAGCTGCACATTCGACCTTATCACTGTTGTTGTTCACCATACAGATCTCACACTCCCAGGATCCTTCGGCAGGTTTAAACTTCGTCATGATGTCTTTCCCGGCATCTTCATTTTTTCCCTCTTCTTTGGTCAGGTTGGCTGATGTTTGGTTTTTCGAAATTTCTTGGTGTTTGTGGTCATCTTTGGAGTCATCAGCTTCTTCATCAGGCCTTTGTTCATTTGATAAGGAGAGACTGTTATTGGAGTCCTCTGTATGCTGCTCACTCCCAGGCTCTCCTTGCTTTGAGGAACCAAAGGTGACTGAAAATCCCGAGCTTGGACTCGATGTTTGGTTCGAACTACCAAAAGTGAAAACTGGTTTCGTATCACCCTCTTGACTTGATACACCGAAGCCATACGTAAAGCTCCCGCCGGAGGATGAGGCTCCAGATCCAAATAGGAA